GGACAGCCGTGGGTTGCCCTGCGCATGCTCAGATCGTGCGCATAAATCTTACTCTTCCCAGTTGCAGCTCTCGAATTATTATTACGAATCCTATTAATAGCATTGTTTAAAAGCGTGCAGCTCTCGGCCCAGCTATCCTGGAGACTTCCTCGAGCTACCTAAGGTCAAACCCTAGTCAAACGACCGCCTATTCCCGGAGTAAAAAAAAAAAGGACCTCAGGGTAACCCCAGCCAGTTCTCCCCCACCCCCCCCACCCCCTGCTCCGGCACCAGCGCGCGCCCGTCCTCTTTCAGCGCCCGCGGAGCCCGCGGCGCGACGCTTTTCGTTCCTTCGCTTTCTTTTCCTCTCCCCCTCCTCCTCCTCTCCTCCTCCTCTCTTTGGAAACGAAAGGGGCGGATCGACCTCGCTGAGGCTGGCGACGGAGGTTGCTGATTTCTCCGCCCACGTCCTCGTACCCGTCCTGGGGAAATAGGGAACAAAACAAAAAGGAAGTGCTGAGCTCCCCCGCCGGCAGGGTGTCTTTTGCAGTCCATCGGAGGACACGTCGGGTGGTTGTGGTTTTTTTTTATTATTATTATTTTATTTTTCTTTCCCTCCGCCGCCACTGCTCGGCGTTGCCGCGGCGCTTTGCTGCTGGGCATCGGATAGGAGGAGGGGGAACGGCGGCGGCAATCAGAAATCCGGGAAGATCCGCCTCCTCCTCTCTCTCTTTTTCTCTCTCCCTCTCCCTCCACGGTTCCCTGGGGCATCCGCTGGGCATTCCTGGGCTAACTATGGTCGCACTCTATCTGTTACTCTTCGCCGGTCTCCTGCTAGCGCCGGGGTACGCCTTCAATCTGGACGCAGAGAGCCCGACTGTATACTCGGGCTCCGACGGCAGCTACTTCGGCTTCGCGGTGGATTTCTTCGCCCCCGACCAGTCTTCGTAAGTCCCTTGTCAGGCGCCGCTTTTGCAAGACGTTGAAAATCTCCGCCGCTTCCCAGAGCTCCTTCTTAGTAGTAGGCGGTGGGCGCCAGAAACTCCTTTGGCGAAATCCCAGGAAAGTTCTTCAAACAGAACCGAACCTGGGTCCGCTTCGGTCCCTGTTTTGAGCGCGGCTACGCTTGGGAAGGATCCCACTTTTGAAAGGCATTGCCGGGGAAACTTCGGAGCCAAGTGTCTATCCGGCTAGTGGGATTTAAGATTCTCGATTTGCCATTCTTCCCTGACCAAGCGCCCTCCTTGCCAAACCGGATTAACCTTTTGTTACGTTTCATTAAGATCCTCGCTTGCATTTTGAGCAGAACGTATTTCAGCCTTAAGGAGAAGTGCTGCTCTGTTTGGGAGGGAAGATAATCCCGTCGATTTCGATGGAGTTTGCTCCTAGGTAAATGGTACGGGGATGCAGGCTTCCCTTCCCTTTTTACCGGAGAAGCACAAATAAGAGGATTTGGTAAAATCCAAATACTCTCTTCTTCTTTTTTTTTTGTAGATTGAAGTCTTCTTATCCAATCTGTAGAACAAATAGTCTTTGTAGTTGGGAAAGATAGCTGTGCAATATAGTTATTGGATGCTGTAAAACGTGTAGAAGGATAATAGAGGGCTAATGATACATGTTTTGCTCTACTGCCTTTAGGACTTACATTTAAGAGCACTTTTTCTTCATAACAATGTGTATACAATTTACTGTGTGCTTTGAGATGTGGCAACAAATCCTATATACATGTAAACTGTATATATGTATATATATAAAACCCTTTCAGTTTATAAAGCCAGTACTTTCAGTTTATAAAGCTGGTGTCTCACTGAGCATTGTTTTCACTCAAAGCACAAATCCAGTAAATTCTAATTTATCTGACAGCACTTCATTTTGATTATGGTGGCAAAAGGTTCAAAGTGCTGGGGAAGTGGGGAAGAGGATGCCCCAGGAATAAATATAAATAGATATTTTCCTTAGGCTTCTGTTTCCATAATTACTGTTAACTTCTTAGGCCCCATAGAGTATTATTTTGAGTTAAATAGAACTTACTTTCTAGTTCAGTGTTTGAGGTGGAGACTTTAACTCTGAGCAATATTTTGAGTGTAATTATGTTTCTGTGTGCAATGACTACATTTGCTGGTGAGATCATACAATATGATTTGCTGTCCAAAATCCCCCCAAAGTATCCTAGGAGTAACTTTTAGCCTAGAGCTGCATTTCTAAGAGTTTTTCCTGGTTGTTGAGTCCAAGTACAGTCTTTAATCAGCAAAAAAAGAAAGAAAACGACAGCAGCCCAACAACTATTTTCTCCATTGCTGAGTCCTATCCTGTCTGTGTTTCCAAGTCATGCAGTCACCTGACTTCTCTCCAAGGCAATAGGTGACAAAGCCCATATCTTAAAGCTTCCCTAGGACCTTGACAGTATAACAAGAAGATACTGTTTATCCAGCTGAACATCTTATTCATGGGTTGGGAATGGAATGTAGGCATTCCTCAGAGATACGGCAGAAAAAAGATGTTGCCAGTCATGTTTGTGCCATTACTAAATGAAAGTGGGGGAAAGTCATAAATACAATATTAGATTTAAATCCTACTGATCCTAGGGGATTTACCTTTGTTTTATATATTTTCAGAAAATACTGTTGAACATTAAAAATGAAAACAGTGAGATACATTAACCATTTAAGTGATACATCTTTTATATTTTTATTATTATTATTAAATCAGTTATTTTTGAGAGTGTTTTTGCCTACCAAAAGCCAGCTTTTAATCAAACTTAAATCAAGTAAGTGCTACCATTCTGAAAGGAGAGATTCACATTTTGAAATTATATACTAAATAATAATAATAATAATAATAAAGTTGGAAGGGACCTTGGAGGTCATCTAGTCCAACCCCCTGCTCAGGCAGGAAACCCTATACCTTTTCAGACAAATGGCTGTCCAGTCTCTTCCTAAAAACTTCCAGTGTGCAATCCTTGCCTATAGAGATTCTCAATCATCCAAGACATGGTTGTCCCAAAGTTGTTTTTTCCAAAAGGCAACCAGACTTTCTTGGTGTTTTCTTTGATAGATAAAATCAAAATGTTATCACCAATCAATAACTGGGCCTCTGGTCCAAACATGCATTGATAACAGAAATAAGTGCTAGGTTCACACATATTAAACTGTGATTCACAGAATTAAACACAATTAAGGCTGACTCATCAAGCACATTAAGCCATAAACAGTTAGTTTATAAACCAAAATGGCTGGGTTCAGACAACCCAGTGAACTATTATGCAGCTGTTGCTTTATTAAGTATTATTATACCTGTATTCACGTAGCATACCAGAAGAAATAATAAATGTATTAGGACAGGGGTCCCCAATCCCCGGTCCATGGACCGGTACTGGGCCGCAGCATGCCAGCAACCGGGTTGCACAAACAAGCAAAACCCCATCTGCGGGATGCAGGCAGCACACAAACCACGTCCCTTCCGGTCCGCAGAAAAACCTCTCTCCACATAACCGGTCCGTGGTGTCCAAAAGTTTGGGAACCTCTGTATTAGGGAACTACGCACACGCCACTAAAAAAACCTTTCCCACGTTACCTTAAGTTAGCCTGTCATCACCTTAGAATACTCTCATATTGCCTGTCTTTAAAGTTCAACTCTTAAAGGAGCTGAAATATTTTGCTCCCTAAGATGTAGGAAAGCATGCTCCCCATATACATAATCTAAAAGATCTGGGACATGACTCTTTGGTGCTGACCAAATATACTCCCCTCCCTTTATATCTACTTCAGCGGCTCCCAACCTTTTCTATATCCCGCACCCCTAGAATGCTCCTGATATATTCTCACACCTTTACAAAAGTTCGTAATAACAGCAACAAATTATGCATATGCACTATAATTTTGAAAACCTAAGTTTTTGCACCCCCTGGAATATCATCTCGCACCCCCAGGGGGTATGATCACCCCTGGTTGGGAACCCCTGATCTATAGATAAATAGTGAAGGCCCTGAGAAGAGAAAAGCTAGCTGGCTACCATTTCTGTGGTAGTCTTACTAAGCCTAATAATGAAATAACTCTATCACAGATCCAGTTGGCTTACTTATGCCAAGTGTGGTCACAGGAAGGGATCAACTTTTTCCTTCAGAAGCAGAAAATGTCTGGCCCTGCTCTTGTTCCTGGTGATAGAAATATAATAATAAATGAAGTAATTAACCAGTGCCTTCACTGATAGTTCAGAGGTGCTGGGATATGAACTGTCCAACCATTTTCAGTGGTCATGTTGGAGTGTCTTTGTTTCTTTCCCAATCCCAGTGGGCTCAAAAGCTTGCATGCTGTTTTGTGACCTTATGGCTTGTTCTAACAAAGGCATGGCTCATTAAAAAAAAAAAAATCTCTGAAGGTTTTGCTGTTTCGTTGCAGGGTAACATTTTTGCTTTTTATGGTTTAATTCTGGCAGCCAGCTTCACTGAGATAGTCTGGTCAATATTTTCTCCTTAACTTTTGACATAATACCTCTAAACATAGGGATTCTGTGCATGGTGATTATTGTAGAAACACTGTATTGTGAAAGGATTTAACACAAAGCAAAAAGTATGAGCCAATCCTTCAGTAAAAGCTGTAAAGACCAACATCCCCATTATGTGGATATGGGGCCATATCTACCATATCTATATACTTATATCACCCAGATGCACATTTCTGTGTGATGGGCAGCATATAAACAAACAAACAAACAAACAAAATATCTAGCCCTTGAATGCCCTTTGTTTGGCTTCAGAAATTGTGTCTCCAAAAGAGTAGAATTCCTTATTATCTGCAGCAGGAAATGGAAAAAGAGAAGTGTGGTAAATGACCACATAAGTTAAGACATTGAAAAAATCATTGAAAAATCCATAAAACTATAGAAAATGCTAGCTGTAAATTTCTGCCTCATCCAGTAGTGAGGTAACATCATGTTGGTTGTTATGGCGTTTGTCCTCCTAAACACTGAGTGGTTTGTCCCCTAACTATTAAATAGCTAATTGTTTCTGCTCTCTTCTGATTGTTTCTTATTTTATTTATCAAACTAGTTTTACGGCTAACTATCAAATAACTCCTGGCAGCATAACTACAATATATGTAAAATATTCAGAAATATGAGTATCCGATGATCTGGAATGTTATATAATTAAATAAGTATTTATTTATAGTTATATGAAAATCCTTGTTTCATTTTTATGAACACATTTATTTGAAATGACTTACAAAGCACTACAGTGCATCATTAAATTGTTTAAAATACAACTGCAACTGTATAATAAACCCAGTGAGAGCGTTATTATTATATATCTCATTAAAGTCAATTAAGGCTATATTCCTCTGTGAAGTGAATCTCAATTATGATATTCAAGATTATAAACCAGCAATGGATTCCACCCTAATTAAATACAATGGGTTTATCTTCACATATCTTTTATCTTCATCGGTTTTATGTTATAAAATTATGCATACAGGTAGTCCTCGACTTATAACAGTTTGTTTAGTGACCGTTCAAAGTTACAAAGGCACTGAAAAAAGTGACTTATAACCATTTTTCACACGACTGTTACAGCCTCCCCATGGTCACGTGATCAAAATTTATGATGATTGTGGCATCCAAGGGTCATGTGATCGACTTTCTGACAAAGTCAATGGGGAAGCCAGATTCACTTAACAACCATGTTACTAACTTAACAATTGCAGTGATTCACTTACCAAATGTGGCAAGAAAGGTTGTAAAATGGGGCATAATTTACTTAACAAACACCTTACTTAGCAATAAAAATTTTGGGTTCGGTTGTGGTTGTAAGTCAAGGACTACCTGTATATTTATGTATAATCCAATATTAAAATTCTCTGGATAGTGTACTACATATTTATGTGTTTTTACTCCTTATAAAACTATCAAAAATAGAAATATAAACATTATAGGAAAGATTGAGCTTTATTTA